TTCATGTCATGATCAAGCCAAATAAGAAGATGTAGATGAAGAGAACCGCGTCCTTGACTTTCAACAGTACCGAAATAAGCCTTTATTGGCCCAAGAACACCGTCAACAATTATAGTCTCTAAGATATTGGTGATTAATAAATGAAAAAATTTGGCGGTAGCTACAGGATGAGATGCTATTATTTCAGCTCTTTTGTAGGTATTAAGCAATTGTTCCATTTGAATGTTGTCCAAATCAAGCTTGACATCCGCAAAATATAGTGCGATGGGACTATGAATATCAGCTGGATTTAACGTCATAAAGATGTTAGCTACACATTGATTATATATTAACGAATGAATGCGAGTTCGCAAAGCCGTACGTGAATATGCTGAGCCCATAACTCGACCACCGATGGTTTTAATATGATTTAATAATTTGTTTAATGCACTGTTTGATTCTGAGTTATATGTTTTTTTGGAAATATTCTCGAGAGCGGTTTCGATGTCTTTACTGTTTAACGTTTGGGTATCCTGGGCTGATTCTCGGAAGTAACGTTTCTTTGTGATCAATTGAGCATGAAAACAAGCATTACGTCATTGCAATATATTGAAGACCACAAATATAAAGCTGTGATTCGTTTCAAAACGTCGATCATTATAAGGTAATAGGTAACGTATATGTTCTCGTAAATTTGTTTTAACAGGACGTGATTGATCGTCAGGTGCACCACGTCCATAACAGAACAGAGTAGGATACAAACCCACTAATAGTTTTGGATTATAATACTCATTAACAGGTTTTGAAGAATGAGGGATTAAATGAACTCTTTCACTGTTCATTTGTTGATGTGTTTTGTTATTTTTCATTTTGTGCAAAACATAATTTGCAATTTCATCTGAAGATACCAAAGAGCCATTAACGTCGAGAACACTACTAAAAATGACAAGATTTAAAATGTTACTTTTTTAAATTAAATATTTACTCTTACCTGTTCTGTATGGGAATAGTATCTGAAGTTGTGTAATCAGTTAAACTAGATAGTGGATCAGGAACATATCCCACTCTTTCAGACTGAACTTCTTCATCACTTATCTTTTGTTCCATTGTTGACATAATAGATTGTGGTATGTCGTCTTCAGGTAGTTGAGCAATATTCTAAAGATTTATCTCAATATTCTGATAGAGAATATTATATTTCTTCAACCATTGCAAAGCCTGAATAATTTTTTTCTTTCGCACTGTTAAAATTTTTCTAAGATGAATACGTTGAGGAGGAAGAGAGCCAACAAAAATTACTTTTATCGTATCACATAGATCATCAAGTTTAAGTGGTAGACTGTTGACAATGTCCGGTACATTTTGCAGAAAAGTAATACAGTTGCCTTTTAAAGCTGTTTGTGAAGTTGTAGCTGAATGAAAAGGTGATTGAAGTTTTATTATATAGCTATTGTGACGATAAAGTGATATTAGCTTTTCTTCTGGAATTGTTAAGCCTTGTAGTACAGCAGGTATGTCGCCAAACCACATGCCATTGGCAACAGAAAATTTAGGAATGTGTTTTTTCGTTAAAGCATCATGGCATTTTTGACAGAGTGTGCACATATTCTTCTTATTCTGTTGAAATAAGCCACTAGTATATAAAATAATATTGTTTTCACAATAAAATGATGGTGACTTGGAAGCTGAAATAATAAACGGTTATTGAAGAAATATTCAATTACAAATAAATGTATATTACTTTGAGCATCATCAGTCGTTTGTATACCATCAGTATTAACAGTAGTTACGGTGCCTTCATTTATGTACTGTAAATTCGATAACTGGGAGCCCATGATCAGAGCTTTAGTTTCGTCTGAAACTTTGAGTAATTCATTGCTAGTAATTTTTGAGACAGGTACTGATTTCGACTTTTGCATGGGACTTCGAATGTTGCAAACTGCACACGTAGTTTCGGCTAGTGCTGACATGGACATTCGATGAAGAAATTTTTTGAGACATCCTTCTTTCAAATCACGAGAAATTGGTTCAGGCCAAGAAGAAGTCGAATTTCTAATTTTCGGTAAGATATTTGCATTTGATATAGAATGAGATATATTAATACCATCTTGTAATGTGACTTCTTCCGCTCCAGCAGATTGCATTTGAGTAGTTTGTTGTTGAGTACTAATATTCTCGGACATGCGTTTTTCATTTTTCTTTTTTTCTCTGTTTGCTTGACTTCGTTTTCTTTGCTGTTCGAGTCGATTAAGACGGTGTTCTTCTGTTTGATTCTTTCGACTAGTTTGACTGCGGTGCCTCTCTCCCCTCAGTCGATTTTGGCGCTCTTCTTCGGTTGCGTTCAGTCGACTTGATCGAACCAGTTCTTTTTTCTTTTCAAGACGAATTTGACGTTGTTCTTCTTTGTCATTGTGATCGTGCAACATTGTATCAGACACGATCGATTGAGAAGAATCAGTGTCTATGTTGATTTCACTTCGTAAACGTCTGCTAGAAGATGATTGAAACTCAGGAATTCCTATCTGGATAGCAGCATTGTTTTTAAATGTTTTCTTTTCAGGAGTCTAAATAAATCTTAAGATTTGTGAATTCTAGTTCATAAATAAAAAACTTATCGCAAGAACTGACGCGAATTGATTATTATTATCACGTTCATGTTGAATCAATCGCGACGTAAGTGGAACAAAATGATTGGGGCTCCATGTTGAATTATTTTTAGTTCTTACCTCATTTTCGTTCAAGGTATGTGACCACAATATTGTAATTTCGAAATTAGCAACAGTAGGTGGAAGAGGCATAAACGTGTTATTCACGATGGCCGTATGATCTCGAAGATCAATTTTTGGATAAATACTCCGTATGTTACATTTAAGTATATTGCATAATGCAGTATTTTTATACAATTCCGAAAATGTGGACTTTCTGCACATAGCTTGAATTGCAATATCAAAAGGTCCGACGCAATGTGAGTATGTATTTGAATAATAAGTCTCATTCGTCATAAGTTCTATAACTGTTCGAACTAAAATAAATATCGAGAAGCAAGTTGTGTAATAAAACAATTGAAAAAGATTTATATACCTCGTAATTCACCCCATGTCACTGCTGGATTATTCATAAGAAGAACAATGGAATGATATAAACAATTTCCGTCGGCAATGACATCGGCTGGAACAAGATGATGTACATCACTAGTAGCCTGTTCAAGATATTGCATGGCTATTACGTCTAAAATATGTTTTTTCGGATCGAAAACTTGATTTGGTCGGAATTCATATGGTACCATAATTGATTCAACCTTCAAAACTTTGTTTGTAAATAAATTAGTATTTTAAATAACTCACTTGTCGAATACTTTGTACGAGGGTAGCAATCTCGTCATAGGGCATTATACTTTGAGAACATTTGTCGAGATGCTGAAGCAATTGAGAAAATTTTTGACCACGACTCATTCGACTACATTGTGAACAACAGCTACTTCCGCATTGCATAGAGCAGAATACACACTGTGTGTTCATCTTCAATCTGTTTTAATAATTGTATATTATTATCTAGAATATATATAATTGAAGAATATATAAAATCTGGTTTTGTGAAAAATTAAAAATAGGTGTAAATATTTAATGAAAAAACCTATATACGATCGAGATTCTTCTGCAGATAGCCAAAATAGAAGACAAAAAAGTTCTTAGATAATTATTCTATTTTATCTTATTTTTTATGACTGAAATATGTACTCGTATTCGAGTTATTTTCTAGAAAAATTCAGATTTCATTATCTGAAAAAGAACTTTCGAACGCTGTCTATAATAATAAAAGTTTATCTCGTAATCGAAGTCATTTTGTATTCTGTGGCTAGTATCGGCGAATCAGACGAGTCAACTTCCTCAGGCTTGATCACATTCGATTGAAGTCTGTCAGTTTGAACTGACTTTACAAAAATATTCGCTCGTTTGATACAATAACCATTGATGATTCAACCCTTTCAACCAACGATTAACATGAATCATATCGAGATAGAATTAGAGAATTATGTTGCGTATCAGTCATCGATCATCATAAACATAACTATTATTCCCCTTTGAAGAAAAATCGAGTAAGTTACACGGAATGTAATTAAGCGTATAAAACAATCAATAAAATCTCATTTATTATATTCAAGACATCAGTTATTATGTAAAAAATATCATTTAAAAGTTTGTGAATTCGTTATAAATATTCTTGACGTTTTACTTGATTTGGCTATTATATCACTATCTGAAGAATAATATGCATAAAAAACAATTATTAACTGTTGGAAATAGTGGAACAACAACTACATATGAACAAGTTGAGGAATAGTTAAAACAAATTGATGTGAAAGAAGAAAAAAACATTGAATTAGCTGTTGAGATTACACTTAAGTAAGTATCAGATATATACTTTTTTTAATAGTTAGAATTTTGGTATTTTCGAAAAAAGTTTCGTTACAGTACATTGATAAGTTAATCTCTAATATATGAAGCAAAAGTCAACTAGTTTTATAGGATAGTTGTTATACAAATATGGAGCGAACTAAAGCAAATCTCATCAGTAATAAAAAGGTGGACTAGAAAGAATTTTTTATACAATTGCGTCTGAGTGCAGTGTATAAGAGCTTTTGAGGGATATGTCAACTAGCTAATTATAAATTCGAAATTTATGAGCACAACTTTATCTGAAAGAGGAACGATAAATTGGTCTGTCATCCACACGTACACTCTTAAGTTAATTTTCTTAATTAATATTTTTGGGTAAAGATAATAAATATCGAATAATTTTATTTTCAGAATAATCAAACGATTAGGTTGTCCTAATTGTCAACCACGTGGTCGTAGTTTTAAAGCTGATCAATTACGTGGTAAAGTTCGTTTATCATTAAATAAACTTCGTTTACTTAATCGACGTCAATTTGAAAACAGTATATATTACTAGGTTTGTTTTTATTAATAAAATCTTTTTATTCAATTAGATATTTTTTTTCTTAATTAAACTCTTAATAGTTATCTTGTTCATATACTTGATATAATTCATGGATTACGTGGTTACTGTTTGGAGCGAAATGTTATTGTTCCACGTTATGCACCTTATAGTAAGATATACTCAAATAGTTATATATTTTTATTTATATTTTATCGTATTTAGTTTCAACAAAAAGTCATACAAATTTATGATAAACATATTCAAATAATTTTAGTAATACACAACTTGGTGTTGGACCAAAAGGTATTGATAGATTTATATTAAATATAATATTTAAACCATTTATTACAAGTCTTATAATGATGAAAGAATATTTAATGAGTTCCGAAAATGTTGCTTTATATGGTGAATGTCGAGCTTTTTTAACATGTATTAAAGAAAACCATGGTGGAATATTTCGTTTGGTGGTTTTTTCATCATTACTTGATCCAGAGAAAAAACTTAAAACGTTTCAACAACAAGAATTAAATGCAAAAGCAAAATCCAAAGGAGCACATACATTTGCTCGACATGATGCGACAAGTAGTAGTGGAAAAGGGGTAAATCTAATAAAAAGAAAATTATTATT